TCTAGGGTCCGCCCATCTTGTCACATGTATACCTGTAGACCCTCCCTTTCCTATGTGCACACCCATAGCTCATCCCCTTCCAGTCATGCTTATGCCTATTGTACATCCCCTTCCTATGATATGTATGCCTATTGTACTGCCCCTTCCTGTGACGTGTGGTTACCTGTAATCACTCCCCCTAAGTATATATGGGCCTTGGTTAGCAATAAATGGGGTCTCAGCCCCACCTCACCTCAGCCCACACTGTGCACAGACCTGGCTGTTAAGATCATGACCATCCAGGAGGTGAGCAGGCTACCATGAAATGTGTCGGACTCCATTATTTCAATCTCTTCTATCTCTCATGCTCTCTATGACTTTACTATAATCTATGTGTCTCAACTGTACAATTGCACCTATCAAACCCATGATTTGTTGTGGGTGCTGGCCTTTCCCCGACAGGTCATGATTGGGGGTGGGGGGAGGAGCATTAAAGAACTAGAGGAATGGTGTATGTTTCCTCAGTGCTGTATTACTGCACTCTGGCTGGATTGTCCCTTCCCTGTGACCCTTCTGTGAGGGCTTGTCCAACTGCCTACAGATGGGTTTGCGTCTCCCCTACAACCTCCCTTGTTTACATCGATTTGAATGATTGAACTACTGAAGTATATGCTATGTAAGTTATGTGCCAATAAAGCCATTAAAATAAATAATAAAATAAAAGAATATTTAAGTCTACTCACCATACCATTTTGTCACTGGAAAGGCAAAAGTGACCTCTCAAGGCAGCAAACGTCGCATGGGTGGAATAGAGATGGAAACCCATGGCAACCCCACAGGAGCCGCAGAATAAAAGGTTGTAAATACTGCATGCGGGACAGAGGAAATCAGCACAAGTAAAAAATAACCCATCTCTGAAAATATTCACAGGTCAACTCAGATTTTAATATAACTCACTTTAGATTAAAATTAATTACTTACCCTTGAGAACACTTCAGCCTAAAAATCCTATTAATTAGCTGCCATTATAATTTCCAGTTGAAGAAAAAAGAATCAAGGTGATTAGGGGCACACTAAGCAATTTATTCATATAATTCAAATCAGGATTTTTCTTATGTATAAAATAACTTAAAATATGAAATGCAAAAGAATAGAAAAGGAACTCTATTTTAGCAAGCCATTTATGAGGGAGCTTCAGAGTTCATGACAAAATTCCATGATGCCATTCCCTTTCCTATGAACTTGTTTTCTTGTATCCTCTGAAAGTTTAATGGAAAAGGAATCGGTAGATGTTGGTTTTAGTTCTACTATAAGGCATATATGATTATCACAAAGAAATGCCCGAGGAAGAATTATGTTTCATTTGCAGGCAATGAAAGCAATTTTAAAGTTATTTGGTAAACTATAAAGTTAGTCATGTAACTACAATATGCTGTCCAGTAAAATTTTATTAACTAAAGAATATAACAATGTGGCTAAGAACCAATAACCATGTATATGAGTACTATAAACCAGCAGAAAAACAAATTAATAAAGTTCCATTCCACATATAAAGCTCTGTATTTTTGTGACTATGGGTAACTAAAAACCAAGCCATAGAATAAAGCTGCGTTAATTTGAATTAATCCCTGTGTAGGGATTAATTATATCAGGAAAAAACATAGTACCTATGGACACTTACCTCAGTAAATACTGATACATGGCACAGAGTAAGATAAATTTTAAAATCTCAACATTATACCAAGGCATGGATTTAAAGGAAAGATGTCAGTGAATATAAATACATAACAAAAGGGAACATTTCAATGAATTTTGAAAGTGAAATCAATACTATAGTAATGGCTCTGAGACTTTGGAACCACAGATTATGAATCTTATAACTCAGACCCAAGGACACAAATAGACTAAAAGTGAAAGGATAGAGGGAAAAATTAATTCATGCAAATAGTAGCCAAAAGCTGGAGTGGCAATCTCTAAAGTTGGGCCAGGGATACTTTCAGACAAAATCTGTTAGATAGGACAAAGATGAGACATTATGTAAGGAGAAAAGGGCCAGTTAAGATTTTAACAAAAAAAAATTTTTTTAACAATCATGAAATATACTCAACACCAGAGCACCTACATCCAGGAAGTAGCAGCGCTTGAGCGAATGGAAGGGAGAAATAGCACTGCAGTAACGCAGACTGCAATACAGTACTCCACTCTCAATATCAGACAGAACATCTAGAAAAAGGATCAA